ACCTTCGACACGAGATTGTTACGTGATATCTCCGAATAAACATAAGGGGGGTAAGGTTCAACTACGTCAAGGGTTACCAAACACCTCCCTCCCAAAAGCCGAGGATACAAAAGGATCGACCAGCACAGGTTCTACATGTCGACGATGGATTCTTCAAGCAACACGGTGCTCCTCATCCTCCTTCTTGGGATCACGCAAGCCAGTGCGCTCATCGGTTACGATTGTGGAGGACGAACCCTCAACGTAACGACAGTCTCCGCCATAGATGCCATCGACTGTGAACCAACGAGCGTAGAGCCTGCAACAAAAACGAGAAACATCCAGCTGCTTCAACTCGGTGACTACAACAATGCACCAGTTATCCAGTGCAAAGTGGAGATCGATCGAACGATACACTATTGCGGGATGCATTCTCACACTTCGGTCGTCCAGGGCGGACGACAACAATATATGTTCCCGACATCAAGAGAAGCCTGCCGTACGCTGCATGCGACTGGAACGATTGCAATTTCACCGCCTGTACAGATCTCTGGAATCGGAAGGAACGTGTCAATGCCGTTCAGCCTCACCTTGGCCGGAACCATCACGATGGACGGGACGTGCAAGGGTACATCGTACGCAGACCCGTTCGGATCGTGGGACAACGTCATTGTGCAAGGCCTCATCAAAGTTACAGTGCAAAGCTACCCTGCAACGGTAAAATTATCGACAGGACAAATCATATTAAAATCCGGGTATCAATGTAATCTCCAGGAAGAAGTACGCCACGACCCTGAAGCAGGACACACTTACTGGAACTCTATCCCTAAGGATTATTGCGAGTTCAACAAATACACTGTGCTGTACGAAGGTAAAGCGACGAAAATTATTCCGCATGACTCCGATGGACTCCTTCTATAGGCTATGTGAACTTGGCACCCGACTTTTAAAAAATTAACTTTTTTTTTCATAAACTGGTAGTATATCGTTTGTAGTTGATGGAGTAAAAATATTTTCGTTTATAGTTGGATCAATTAATAAATAAACAAAATTGAAAAATTGATCCGCACCCGACATTGAGATATTTCAAATCGGTATTTTCCATGTGATAGAGAATCGTTTGTAGTTGATTGTAGTAAAAAAAGTTTCGTTTGTAGTTGAATAGTTTAAAAGTTATGAGCAATTGTTTATCCGAGTAAGAGGTAACTTTCTCAATTTTTAATATTTTTCAAATCCGTCTTTTCCATGTGATAGGGAATCATTTGTAGTTGTTTGTAGTGGAAAAAGTTTCGTTTGTAGTTGAATAGTTTAAAAGTTATAGGTGATTGTTTATACCCATCAGTCAACTTCGTCAATTTTTAATATTTTTCAAATCCGTCTTTTCCATGTGACAGGGAATCGTTTGTAGTTGTTTGTAGTGAAAAAAGTTTCGTTTGTAGTTGAATAGTTTAAAAGTTGTAGGCGATTATTTATATTCCTAAGACCCATGCTTTTTTGAGTTCTAAAATTTGTACAAATTTAATTGTGTGGGTTTTTATGTAATTGCATTTATGTAATGTATTGTCGACCGTAGTGGAAATGTGACGAAATTAAATATATTTGGTCTTTTCTAATGTCGAAACAACAGCGAGAGATATGCTCGAAGAAGAATCGTACATCACATAGGTGTGGGTACTGGAATAATAAATAAACTGAAATAAAATAATTTGTAACAAAAGTACAACCGAGTTCTAAATACAGTAAATAATATGAAATACTTTCTATTTCCTAATGTAATAATTTGTATTTCATTTATACCATCATTCCATAACTGTAAATACTAAAACCTATTTAATCGTTAAATAGTATTCTAAATACATTTCAATCTTTTCGGAGGAGGTGCAAAATTCAAAATAGTTGAATAAATGATGCTGCCAATAACGATTTGATCGCGGTATGGCGAACTTGGTAATTAATAATTATTTTATATTTTATACTTTTTACTGCATTTTGTTAATGTAGAAAGAGGTTTTATTAATAATTGTCACGTAATTGTGGAAACGAAATAGAAATTATTTTATACTTTTTAGTGCATCTCGAAGTTGGTTGTATTTTGTTGATAGAAATTATTTTATTTGACACTTTTTAGAGGGATGAGCGGAATTGGTAGGATATCGTAAGGTGGTTTATTGTTGTTATTGGTTAATTGATAAAAGAGAACAATGTGAATAACATTTTTTTAAATATTTTTATTTTTTATTTAAGTTTGATAACTTGCAGGGTTAAAATAAAATTTGAATTATCTATGTATGTATATATTGTGACCCGTTTCGGGGGTTCACTTTATACAGAATTCTACTCGTAAACTTAATTTTCACTATAACTTTGGCTCTCGTCGGTTCGTTTATAATCGTTGGGCGCCAGCCACGTCTCGTGGCGATCAAAATCGAAAGGGAAAAGGGGTGATCGTGGGTGTTTTACAGGGGATGGGTCTCGGGGCACTTACGTCCGTACAATACTTCGCGGGGGAGTACGCAATGAGGATTATTGTGGGAAGGGAAATCTCTAGGGTCGGAAAAGGGGTTCGCGGGAAAGTTCGCCTACGTTACGCGAATGAGGAAATAACTGTGGTCGGAAAATCAAAAGGGGGAAGAGCGGAAAAGGGGGGATTCGTCTTAACTTCGAACAATGCGCGGGCGGAGAAGATAGCCGTTGTCAAACTCACAATACAATCGTAATACGTTAAGGGACTCACCCAAATTTCCTCACACTCTCTCTACACTCTCTATACTCTTTATCGCTTTTCGCTTTTCAAATCGCTTTATACGCTCTTTCTCTACTCTCGCCTAGCCTCGGGCTCAATGACGGTTCGCCGTCGCTGCTGCGACGACGAAACCGTCGCGGAATGGTTTGGGGAGGGGATGGGACTAGGAAGGGGCTCTTCCGGCAACGGGCTAGATCGATTATCGATCTTCGATACACCGGTGCTCGGGGTCGATGGGGCTGGCAGATATCCTGCGATGTCAGGTGGGTTGAGGTCTTCGGGCTCGGCGACAGATGGCTCCGGGTGGACGTTTCGCATGATCTGGGCAGCTTCGTCTATTGCTTCGGAGTCCCACGTTGCTCCGTTTCCTTGGAGGACGGTTTAGGGGTCTGTCGCCGGCCTCGTAGCTCCTTCTGCGGGTGTTCCTTTCCGGTCTTCTGTCGCCTCCATCGGCCCGACACCGGTGAGCAGGGGGAAAGGGTTAGGTGAGGGAAGGGTTACGGGTGGTTTCGAGGTGGAAGTGTAACGTGGGGGAAAGCGCAGCGATTGTAACGGGGGGGCACGGGTGTCACCATGTTACAATATGAAAAGGTAACTTACATAACTAAATAAAACTAAAATACATACTAACTAAAATAGGAAGGGAGATTATACATACTAACAATGATTAATTTAAAATGTTTTTATTGCCTTTATGCTATATTAATATAAAAATTCTTTCCTCGCCCCCTGCTGCCGCCTCCTCTTCTGCCGCCTCATGGCCATCTTCCCCGGTATGGATTTGTTCTTCTTGTGCCAGCAGCCGTTCCTCTTTCTGTAATGTAAAATTTCAACAGTTACATAGGTCATGTAGTTTAGAATTAATTTTTTATTTATGACGCAAAGGGGTTAATTACACTGTCCAACAAATTTAAACCTTTTTTTCTGTTCCGATTCCCAGTAGGTGATTGTTATAGTGTTTTGTACACTGATTATGAATGTGCAAACCGTTTGGTCCTGTACATACAGTTTTTCAGAAATTTGATTTTGAAAAAAAAAACATATTTTTCAGATGGAAATAAACTGGCGTAATTGTAAAAGATATTGAAATTCTATTTACACTAAAAGATTTTGTAGACTTTCCTGAGTACAACGATACCTATCTTTAATACATTCTGAACGTTTATGTATCTTTAAACGATCATTGAACGCGGAGGGACCCCGATTTGGCAGCAATTTTTAGGATATTTTTCAATTTATCTGACAAAATAGAAGTACACCGTAAAATCGAATTATATCACGCGATCGAGCAGATTGTTATCCTGGAAAACCACCCGGAGAAAGTTGCAACCTTGATTTTTGTATCAGCCAGGAAGCGAAATAGCTTCGCGGGAGACGAAGTATCGACAGTGGTGCTCCGCGTCAGGACGATTGCTTGGTGTCTCCCGTATATTGCCGCTTAAAGCGGCAAACGATTCCCTATCACATGGAAAAAACGGATTTTAAAAATATTGAAAATTGAGAGTTACCTATTCGGAGTATAAACAATGGGCTGTAACACTTAAACTATTCAACTACAAACGAAACTTTTTTCACTACAAACAACTACAAACGATTCCCTGTCACATGGAAAAAACGGATTTGAAAAATAATAAAAATTGACGAAGTTACCTCTTACGCGGATAAACAATTGCTCATAATTTTTAAACTATTCAACTACAAACGATACTTTTTTCACTACAATCAACTACAAACGACTCTGAATCAGATGGAAAAGACGGATTTCAAAAATCTTGAAAATTGACGAAGTTACCTCTTACTCGGATAAACAATTGCTCATAACTTTTAAACTATTCAACTACAAACAAAACTTTTTTTACTGCAATCAACTACAAACGATTCTCTATCACATGGAAAAACCGATTTGAAATATCTCAATGTCGGGTGCGGGTCAATTTTTCAATTTTGTTTATTTATTAATTGATCCAACTACAAACGAAAATATTTTTACTACAATCAACTACAAACGATATACTACCAGTTTATGAAAAAAAAAGTTAATTTTTTAAAAGTCGGGTGCCAGGTTCACATAGCTCCTTCTATACACAGTTACGTGTATAGTGTTGCATTGACAACAACGCATAACATAACTATCCACAATAACGAGGAGGTACCTGTTTCGTCGCGCGCTCGCCTCAAAGGGTCCTACGTGATCAACGTGAACTGTATGGAAAGGCACCGGGACTTTCTCGACGGGGTGCAACTTGCCTTGTCTCTTCCCAGCTGTACGTTTATAGTAGGCACAGTTAAGACACACGTTAATGTATTTTCGCACAAACGCCGACATTCCCGCGAACCAATAATTTTCTCTAATTCGCCGAAGAGTTTTTTCTAAGCCTAGGTGCCCGGCGTCATCGTGGCATAATCGGCAAATTTGGAATCGTGCCGCCCGTGGCCGTCCTTCATGGCATAGTTCTCGAAGTATTGCTTCGTGTCCGCGTTTCGTACGCGCTCCAGTAATATTTGACGAACACGACTCAGCTGTTCGTCCTGTAGTTGCGCGGCCAATCTGTTTCGGTGATATCCACCGGGTATACTTCCACGTCCTGTACGGAGTTCCTGCTGAGAGCGTCGACGTGTTGCATTTTAGTGCCTTTGCAATATTCGATGTCAAACGTGAAGTCCTGTATCTCCAACCACCATCGCCCGATACGGGGGAGCAGGTCCTTTTTGGTGAAAGTCGTACGAAAAGCATTACAATCGATTACCACGGTAAATTTCAACCCTAGCAGGTATACACGAAAGTGCCTCAGGGCAAACACCACTGCCATCATTTCTAGCTCGTACGAATAGTATTTGCTTTGTTCGTACGTAGTCTGTTTGCTAAAGTACGCGTCTACCTGCTGCCGACCCTCGGTTGTAAATTGAAATAAAATCGCGCCCAACCCTAACGAGCTGGCGTCGGTGTGTAGCTCGGTCTGAAGCGTGCCGTCGAATATCGACAATATGGGTCGCGTGGTGAAAGCCTCTTTTATCGCCGTCAACGCGTTTTTCTGAGCGTCTCCCCAAGTCTACGGCGCGTTTTTTCTTAATAAGGTCGTTGAAGGCGTTGTCACAGTGGCGTATCCCTGAATGAAATTTCGGAAGTATCCCGACAGGGCTACCTCCTTCTTAACTGTCTTTGGTCTTGGCATTGCTAACACGGCTTCTATCTTCCTGCGTCCAGTTTTAACACCCTCCGCGCTTATTTCACGGCCGAGATAGTTGACGCTAGTCATCAAGAGCGAACATTTTTTT